TATATATATATATATATATATATATATATATATATATATATATATATATATATATATATATATATATATATATATATATATATATATATATATATATATATATATATATATATATATATATATATATATATATATATATATATATATATATATATATATATATATATATATATATATATATATTTATTGCCGGATCGATTTTCTAGACTTAGAGCCAGGTATTATATCGATCTTTCTCCTCACATTGTCTTTTACCTATGCAAATTCACCCATGATTACCTAGCGCTCCGAGCCCCTTTACATCCCTCATGACATGTATTCTGATTTAATTTGTCATGCGGAGTGTTTTGTCTTCGCATGCCAAACTATATACCTACATACATGCGAAAATCAGGTGGTTCAGTCTCATTTTTAGCCTGTATGAAAACCCGTATGTCTGCTAGAATATACCTACAAATGCTGATTTGTGTATCTTGCCCTTCCTGACACATCTCCCATTCAGGTGCATAGCGTATCGCTATACAAGTATGTTAAAGAGCACAGGAAATTGGTCCGCGAACGAGAACAAATCCGAAGTGACCTGGAGGTGCGTGCTGTTTCTGATGGTGTTATCATCTGAGTTATCATACAGCCTGTATAATTAAGACATATATCGGATCCCGCGCACACATGCACACGCGCACATGCCCACTCAGAATGGGTGACTGGGAGGTGATTGGTGTTAGTGTGATAGGCCAAACACAGTGAACCATCTAATTGCCAAGGAACGGAGCACTATACGTAACGCTTGGGCGGGCTGGGTTGAAGTGGTTTTGGACTTTATTTGTCCTACCTGTTCGGTGTTTGATTGGCACTTGTATGTCTTATTTGAAGTGGTTTTGGACTCTATTTGTCCTATCGTTTTGGTGTTTGATTAGCACTTTATGTCTTAATTGAACTATTTTTGGACTTTATTTGTCCTACCTTTTTGGTGTTTGATTGGCACTTGTACGTCTTAATTGAACTGTTTTTGGACCTTATTTGTCCCACCTTTTTGGTGTTTGGGTTTCAACACTTGTATGTCCTCTCTTGTCTGAGAAGTGATGACGCCACGTCATACGGGTGGATGGGTGCAATTCGATGTTCAACGATAGTTTGTTTTAACTTCTATGTAATTTGCTCTGTACGTTGAATACGTTCAACGTTCCTCAGGGGGCCTTCTACCATTAGACTCAATACACGAACATTCTACAAACCCCTAAAACCCTAAACCCTACATGAACATTCTACGATGCCCTTGTGTATCTTAATCCCTATGTCGGTGTACAATTATCTACTTCTAATACCTGTTCGACTCTACGGTTATAGAGAGCCTACTGGGACTTGGGGAAGAAGCACGAGCGCCCTACCATGCGTGTGGGGGGGTTCCTGTGCTATGGTGGCACTATAGTGGACTCGATCGACTATCTACAAGATCAGCTCAAGGAATATAACCAGTAGGTGCATTCGTTGTGATGAGTGTTGAAAGTGTTACCATGCACTCGATGGTCTGTGTGTATGTGTCCAGTATTTGTAGTAGTCTTAAGTGACGGTTTAATATGAGACATGCTCGAGTTTATTATGAAAAGTGTTGTATGTAAATGTATGGACTAAGCGTGATAGGGTTTATTGGCTGGTTATACCACCAACTCAAGGAGTGCCGCTCGTGTGCGATGATGTATGTTGTTTGAGCGTGTGTTGTCTGTAATCAATTAACTCGAGTGCACTCGCACTCAACTAACTTTCTCTCAGACCCAGAACACAGTCAAAACCAAATTCGTGTCTCCACCTCCGTATATCTATTGTATTCGCAGACGACTTTGCACAAATTGAACTATACGGGCGCTGCACCCACGGCTCATAGGCCGAGAGTCCTTGGGTGAACGCTCGTCCACAACACCGAACCCGCGGCTCAGTCTTTCTCACCGTACTGTCCGTACTGTCCCAAAGTGCTATTTCATCTCTAAGCCTCGCACCCGTACAATGCCTGACATATCGAAGTGCAATTTCCCCACAATTGATTAGTAGCTGCTGCAGGCGACAGGCCTTGTAAGACCACTACAGTCTCAAAAAAAACTCCAGAGGTTTTCCCTTGATATACCAAATTCGAGGTCAAAACACTCTACACATATACCATTAACCACTGTCAAAGGGACACGATGCCTATTTGCATCACCGCGCCATCCGCTGTCTCCGAAAGAGTTCAAGTCTGATCCATCCACTGACAAACACGTGTGAAGTGTATGCTCATACTCACTTGTATTTTCTTGTATACGATTCTATTTCTTATATTTATTATTTATTTACTTGTTTTATTAATTTATTCATTTATTTATTTGTTTTTTATCTATTTTCCAACAGATTGGTGAAGGAGTCCAAGTACGATGGATTGCGCTATCCGTACGGCACTGGCTTTGTGACGTTTAAGAACTTCCTCACGGCCAGTCTAGCCGCCAGCAGTCGACTCAGTGACAACAGGTGCGACAGATTGTCTTGTGAGTGGTTGTTCTCATACCCGTTGTGTATGTGATATCTGTACAATAGGTGCGACATATGTCTTGTGAGTGGTTGTTTCCATACCCGTTGTGTATGTGATATCTATACAACAGGTGCGACAGATATTTGATCTTGTTGTGAGTGATTGTTGTTGACGGTGTTTGTTGGGGTTGGGCTGGTGAACGGTATGTTACGTTGCTTTCTGTCCGTTAGTCATGCCATTTGTTGCCCACAGACTGACCACAGGAAGCAGACGTGTATTCTGAATATAAAAAAAGGGGGTGAGGTACTCATTGTGGGGGGCATTTTTGGAGCCAAATCACCACATTGGCACGAGCACAGTTTCGCGTATGTTCAACTCATTGCAGTTTCCCATTATGTTTCAATATCTCGCACAGTTTCATACACAACACCAGGGCGTTCCGTGTGTATTTCTGGGTTCTAAGCTTTTGGATCGCTATATACCACTTCTTTCCATCACGTCACACAGTTCCGCATATAGCACAGACGGCGCACCAGAGCCCACGGACGTGTACTGGCCCAATCTGCGCATACAAAGCCTTGAGTTGACTGTGCGGACTATATGTGTAAAGTATGTTAGTGTATATATGGCAACACCTTCTCAGTATGTAAATGACAGGTGTAGGTATGTTTATATGAGCGCATGTATATGTCTCCGCTGTCTGTGCACTGGTCCAACCAGCGCGTTCAAAGTCTCGGGTTGTCTGTGCGGAGTATATGCGTGTAGTATGTCATTGTATATACAGCACTTTGCCAATATATATATATATCAAGTATGCATGTTTATGTGTACGTTTACATTATAGTAAGATTTATATGACTGTCTGTATTTGTTTCCGCTGCCTGTGTACTGGCCCAGTCTGCGTAGTTAGAATTTCGAAGTGAAATACATGTGTAGTAAATCGATAAGTGTATATGTATCAAGCATGCGTGTGCATGGAGTCAACCTTGTGAGTAGTTGTTTGTCACGTATTTGAGCGTATCTGTGTTATTCGTGCGTGTGTGTGTAAGTGGTCGGTTTCCTTATGCGTGTGTCGTGTGACTGTTGTGCGTGTAGTTACATGTGCGTGGAGAAAATATGGTACAAAGCATGCGCTTATATGTGTGACGCATGTGCATCCACCTCCTTTGGCGGGTGTGGGTGTGCACGTGCATACAGAGTGTGTGCCATTGCATAACATGTGTGTGTGTGTATGTGGTTGGTACCTCTTAAGCGCATATTGAGTACAATATGGAATAGGCCTGCGCTTAGTGATAGTAATAGCTTCTATTTGACGTGCGTATCATTTGCAGTCTATAGTTTTGCTGAGTATGTGACTGCAAAGGAGTGACGCGGTGTCTTCTGAGCACATGAGACGTCATTAGTCACCGATGTAGACAGCATTGGTTTGTTTCTTTGAATATCAACTGATATATATAATGTATGTATGCATGTATGTATGTATGTATGTATGTATGTATGTATGAATGTATGTATATATATATATGTATGTATGTTTGTATTTGTGTGTGTATGTAGGTATGTACGTGTGTATGTGTGTATCCTCCGTGTTTAACACTATCATTATACATTCGCTCACTTTCTCAATAACACATTTGCGCTCTTTCTTCCCGTGCACAGAATCCTGACATTCGCGATGGTGGTGTTCTTTGCCATTCCTGTGGCCTTTCTGCAGAGTTTTGTGACAATTGAAAACTTTCAGGTACGTATACATAGTAGGTTGTGGCAGATAAATGTGGGCAAGCACACATGCATAGCAGGATGCAGTAGATAGGTGTGATATGTGTTGATTAATTCCTATGCGAAGTAGATTAAAGTAAATGAGCGTGGTATATCCTCACATACTCTGTTTCTAAAAATAGCACACTTGTTCTAAAAGTAGCGCACTTGTTCTAAAAATAGCAAACCTTGTATCGACCTCTTCATAGCCTCTGTTTTCTTCGGCCTTCACCACAGAAATGGTTCCCATCGCTAGAGGATTTTTTTAATGACAACGCTGCCCTCACCGCAGCTATTAAGGGTTTTCTTCCTGCTCTGATCCTGAATATTTTGATGTTTGTCATCCCCCATCTCATGCGACGTATGTGCGAAACCCTTACAGATCATTTATAACCAGCTACCTTGCTTTGCATGTATATATACAGG